AGCTAATGACCAGGAATCCTGAACTTGCAGACCTGTGAACTTGTTTGAAAAAAAAAAGATTCTGATACCAATTTCAATAAACTTAGTTTCCTTTGTAATCCAAGGTAATCTGTTTTATGCATTTAAAAACATGATTCTGAGAAGGGGTCCATGGTCTGGCCAAAGGGGATCTTATGCTGCAAGAAGAAGATTAAGAACTCCTGGGGCTAATCCAACCCCCTCATTTTACAGACAGGGATACAGAGGCCCAGAGAGGAGAGCTAACTTTCCCCAGATCTTGCAGCAGAGCCAGGCACGGGTCAGGCGCGGACTCCAAGCCCAGGGTCCCTTCTGCTCCATCACTGCCTCTCCCACCTAACAGCCCGCACACGCCCGAGCCTTTTCCACACTCACCCGCAGCAGGTCAACAACACTCATCTGAGGAATGGTCCAGGCCCCTGGTCCTGAGAGGACAGCAAGTGTGAGGGGCTCTAGTTGGGGGGCAATCAGGAAACAGCCCCAATGTTTGAACGACTCTCAGCGTTCTGTCCAGGCAACAGGTGTTTGTTCTTTGTCGTTGCCATGGGCGCGACGGGCAGGGGCCCTCTTACACCTTTGCTGGCCCCTCCTCCGACATCTCCCAGCTGCTCCCCAACGTGTCAGGGCACTTCTTGTTTGTTCATTGGCTACCAGGAGCCGCGAGGCAGCAGGGTCTCTCTTTTCGCTTTTTCTAAAGTCCCAGGGATGACAGCGCATTGGCCAGCACGGTAGGGGGCAGTTTGCCTCCAGGGCCATGGCTACCCAGCTCCTGTCTCAGCTGGTCCCCCGGATCTAAGGAATGTGCGAGGAGAGCCTGGGAGGGAAGCCAGGACACCTGGGTTCTAACTCCAAGCCTGCCACTCACTCTGTGGGCAAGTGTCCTCTCTGGGATTCAGTTTCCTCATCTGTCAAATGGGGATATATCTTCTCCAGGATATTGTGAGTCTCTAAGGAGACTTAGAGACGGTGTGAAGGGAGAGACAGGGATGCAGAGCACGGGCTTTGGGCTTCCACCAGGAAAAATATTCCCTCCTCCTGAAAATCAGGGCTGTTTGGGTGGTGGTGCCAACTGCAGCCCTGAATGGTTAAGGGACAAACCTAGCTTTCCCTCCTCTATTTATAAGCCTGGACTGGGGAGACATGGCAGGGGTGGGGGTGGGGGAATATAAAGGGGGAACGTCCTTCCTTCTCATAATTCATACAGCACTATTTGTCAGGGCTAGAAGCTCAGAGCACTGGCCTAGTCCCATCTGCTCAATGATTCCCCATGTGACCTTGGGCAGGTCATTTCATCTGTATGGACCTCAGTTTCCCCATCTGTAAAATGAGGGACTAAATGTTATTTAGCTTTAAGGGCTGAGTTCTGATATTCTATATTCTAAAGTTCCCAGCTCTGACATTCTATGTTCTAAGGCTCCTCCCAGCTTTAACACAGTGTTCTAAGGGTCCTCCCAGGTCTGATATTCTGTGTTCTAAGGCTCTTCCCAGCTTTGACATTCTATGTTCTAAGGCCTCTCCCAGCTCTGGTATTGTGTTCTAAGGCTCTTCCCAGCTTTAACACTGTGTTCTAAGGGTCCTCCCAGTTCTGATATTCTGTGTTCTAAGGCTCTTCCCAGCTTTGACATTCTATGTTCTAAGGGCCCTCCCAGCTCTGACACTGTGTTCTAAGGCCTCTCAGCTCTGATATTCTGTGTTCTGAGCCTCTTCCCAGCTTTAACACTCTGTGTTCTAAGGGCCCTCCCTTACTGGCTCTTTTATTTTGTATTCTAAGGCTCCTCTCAGCTCTGACATTCTGTGTTCTAAGGCCCCTTGCAGCTTTGGCCCTCTATGTTCTAAGGTTGCCTCCAGCTCTGACACTGTGTCCTATGGGCCCTCTCAGCTCTGATATTCTCTGTTCTAAGCATCTTTTCAGATCTGACTTTCTTTGATTCTATAGCTGAAAGGAATCAGATAAAGAAACTCAGGGCTTATGGGGAGGGGGAAAAGAAAAAAAGGAGGAAGGAAGGAACATTTCAGAAGTCATTGTTCAGTCTCCTAGATTCCTTCAGAGAGGGGAATTCCCTGGAGCGCAGGATTCATTGACTTGGCTATATTAGGGGAGTGTTGGGAGTGTGAGTGTGTTATTCATTAAGCAGATGCCTCAATCACTGGCTGTTTCCTGAGCTCACCCATCTGGGCCCTCCTAAGCCACTACACCCATCCTGGGGCCCCAAAGGAGTGTCAGGTGAAGACACCTACTCAGACTCTGCCCACAGCAAGCAACAACTTGAAAGTTCATCAGATTCACACCTGGCTCTCGATGACAGGAAGGCAGAGCCGAGTCAGGAAGTGAGTCAGAGCACAGGCAGCAGCATGATGGCTACCCCCAGCTGTCACTAACTACCTCAATGGGGTTAGGAAGGCAGAAGGCTAAGGGTCAAGAGCTGTGGGGTGGGCCTGGGCTGATGGGGGAACCAGGAGCAAACTGTCCTACCAGGATGGGGGGGGGGGGAGGACACTTGAGTCAAAGCTGTTGGCATCATATCATTTCATCCTAGCTACTTACAAGAAACTTCAAAGCACCCTAATGGCCCTAATTATTATGGCTAGGCCCTGGACTACCCATTTAATATCTGAGAAGTCAAGGCAGCACCTGAGACCTGCCCAAGGGCAGTTGGGGAGGAAGGCCTGGGAAAGGCCTCACCTAAAGGAAGGCATCTTGACCTTGCTCAGGCTGGGTCATCAGCGGCAGCAGCTTCCCCTCCCCAGAACTTCTAGAACTCTCTGAATTCTGCCCTCCCTCGAATCTTTGCTTACATTCCCTCTTCTAGCTGGGTGGTGAAGTGGTTGGAGCCCTGGGCCTGGAGTCAGAAAGATCTGAGTTCAAATCCTACCTCAGGCACTATTAGCTGTGTGACTGTGGGCTAATCCCTTGCCTCGATTTCCCCAACTGTAAAATGAATAACAGCACCTGCTTCACAGGGTTCTCGTGAGGATCTAAGGAGGTAACGTTTATAAAGCATTTAGCACAATGCCAGGCACGTAGTAGGTGCTACCTAAATGCTTGTTTTCCCTTCCCTATCTCTAGGTCCTCCTTTCTCTACCTCTTCAAATCCTGTCTGTCCATTCTCAAGTTCTGCCCCATCCCCCAGGGAAGCCTTGTACACTAACCTTCCAACAGCAGCAGCAGGGCCTCCTAGACCAGGTTTTCTTGGCCAAGATATTAGAGTGGTTTACTATGTCCTTCTCCAGTTCATATTTTACGTATGAGGAAACTGAGGCAAACAGGGTTAAGTGACTTGCCTAGGGCCACATAGCTGGTAATATCTGAGGCTGGATTTGAACTCAGTTCTTCTGACTCCAGGCCCAGCATTCAATCCACTGCATCACCTAGTTGACCTACACTATTACACTAGCCTGCTAGTAGGTGGTCTCTTCTCCACCTTCTCCTCTCTGAAATCCGTCCTTCAAGGCTCTGCCAGACGAAACTTTCTTCCATACTTTTTTCCTGCTCCTCAAATAACCAAGTGAAGCTGATCTCCTTTGCCTGGCATTCACCACCTTTTATAATCTGGCACCCTACCCCCCCTTTTCCAATTTTCTCTCATATTATTCCCTTTCATGCATACACTCTCCACTTTACTCACTGTCTTCAGAGCACTCTTTGTTATCTCCAAACCTGGAATGCACCTCCCTCCCCAAGCTTCATCTGTGGAATAGCCTACCCATCCTTTAAAGTTCCTTTATAAGCTGCAAAATTACAAAACCACTTCCTCCAGGAAGCCTCCCCAGTTTTCCGTGCTGGAATAATCTAACCCCCGACCCCATCAAGACCTGGAATGGCACATTGGTTCAGCAATTCTCTTGCATTTATTATGTAAAATAGTGTATTATGAGAGGCAATGATTGTGCCCTAGTGGATGGAAGACCAGCCTTAGAAGCAGGAAGAATTGGGTTTGTCTCCTGACTCCTGGTTATACATACTAAGCAAGTAAGATCACAGGTAACGCCTTAACCTCTTAGTGCCCCAGGCAATTCATTCTCTAAGACTGTAAGTTAGGTCCTACTTGCCCGTATGCATCAGATGGGGGAAAGTTCCCTTGTTTGTAAAAAGGGAGGCTTGGGACTAAGGTTTGGAGGTCTGTTCCGGTTCTAACTCTTTGTGATTTTTTTCACCCCCAAGGGCACTTAGCACGAGGGCACCAAGTGGGTCATCAGCAAATCAGAGGGTAGAGGTTGTCTCTTTTGGACCAGCCCAAAAGTTGGCCCCAGGGCGTGTCTGAGGTGGAGGGCGGAGGAGGGCAGAGCTAGGGAGATAACTGGGACAGTGTGGGAGCTTGCCCGGGGGTCAGGACCAGACCTTGGGGGGCGGGGTGTATTGGCCCCAGACGAGGATTCTCTATCTGGAGAGAGGCTGGCGTCCGGCCCCATCTACATCTCCCAGCTCCAATCCCCAACCTTCCTGATTTGGGGTAAAAGACCCAGGAGTCCGAGGGACCGACCGACCCAGAGGAGTAAGAGCAGGCTGTGCTGCAAATCAAGGAAGGGAGGCCGTGTCAAAGCCCAGAACCCCCTCTTTCTTCCAACCCAGGCAACCACGAGACAGAGAGAGAAGGGCGCTGGGGAGGAAGCCAGAAACAGAGACCAAGATAAGAGATAGGGAGATTTGCACTGAAAAATACGCAGCGAGAGACACACACAAAGAGAGACAGAAAGAGAGAGAGAAAGGAAGGGAAGTGGGAGGGATGGAGAGCGAGACCCAGAGGAGAGACTGAGGGAGGCAGGGAGGTGGACGAAAGAGACGGAGATAGAGGGGCAAAGAAAAGAGAGAAAGGGAAGCCGAGGACTCGGGCGGTCTGGAGCCCAGGTGCCCAACCCGTGTCCCCGCAATTCCCCGTGTAACCCCGGGCTGCCCAGCTGTTTCTCGTGCTCCCACACTGATCGTGGGCTCCGGGGGCCCCGGGGTGCCGCTGCCGCCACCTCCTCCCGCGCCGGGAGCTCACCTGCCAGCAGGTCCGCTTCCACGTAGCTCCCCCGACCCTCCGGGAGTCGCCGCCGCCGCCGAGGCTCGCCTGGAGCGCGGGGGACACCCGCTGCCCAGAAGCCCCAGGTCCGGGCACCCACGCGAGGAGCTAGCGACGGGGTGGGATGGCAGGGGAGCGCACCCGGCAGTGGGACACTTGGCTCGGCCCGTGCCTCTAGCATGTGCGGCGGCTGCCGGACGCCTGCAGCCCGGCCCGGGGCCCCATGCACTGCCCGGATCCCGGAGGCCGAGGCCAAGGGGGCAAAGGGAAGGAAGGGGAGAGGAGGAGGGGAGAGGGGAGGAGGGAGGAAAATTCAAGCCAAAGTTTGCCAGTCCAGGAGGGGCGGGGCGAGAGCGCGGGGCCAGCCAACTGCTGACAGAGCTTCCTACGAAGCGACCAGTGGTAGGCGAGCTGAACGCGGTCCGGGGAGGGGAGTGTATGTGAGTGTGTAATTGTGTGTGTCGGTGTGTTTGTGTGTATGTCTGTGTGACTAGGAGGGACTGATCCTAGCCCTGTCAGCCCACGCCCCCGGTCTGGATCCCGGATCCCCAAGGTCCAAGAGGCCGGAGGGAAAGCAGGAAATGGGTAGGAAAGATGGATGGAAGTTGCAGAGAGGAAGATTTCTGCTCAACAGAAGAAAAAACTTCCCAACAATCAGAGCTGTGGGAAACTGGAGGGGTCTTGCCTCCAGAAGTAGGGAGCTCCCCATCATTTGAAGTGGATGCTGGATCACCAATTTTGCTAAATGCTATAGAAGGAATTCCTGCTTAGCGACAGGTTGGACTAGATGCCCTCTGAGGTCATAGTAATGGTAGGATTTAGAGCTGGAAGCACCCTTAGACATCACCTTGTCTAGCCAACCCCCTCATTTTATAGATGAGGAAACTGAGACCCAGGGAAAGGAAATCACCTGCAGAAGGTCACAGAGCAGTGAGCACCAGAGCCAGGGTTTGGACCCAAATCCATTGACTCCAATTTCGAGGCTATTTCCACCCCTATCTTTCCAAGTCATCCAGGTTCAAAACTTCTGTATCATCCCAGACTTCTCACTTTCCCTCCTTCCTTATAGTCGTTCAGCAGCCAACTTTTGTCATTTCTACTGCCATATCTCTCAAGTCCCTGGACAAGTCACTTAACCCTGTTTGCCTCAGTTTCCTCATCTGTCAGATGAGCTGGAGAAGAAAGTGGCAAACCATTCTGGTATCTTTGCCAAGAAAACCCCAAATGGGGTCACCAAGAATTGGACTGCACTGAAATGAATGAATGAACATCTCTCATACCTCTCATCCTCTTTTTCCAGCCCACCCCTCTAGCTCAGTCACCTAGAGACTATTACAATAACTTCTGGAATGGCTTTCCTGTTTCAAGTTGTCTCTACTATCCATTCCAATCCATTGCCCACATAGCTTCCTGAGTAATTTTCCTAAAGTGTGGATCTGACCAAGTCATTCCCCTACTCAATAAATTCAGATGGCTTCCTATTACCTCTAGGATCACAGATCTAGACATCTAGATGGAAGGGACCTCAGAGGTCTCCAACCCCTTGATTTCACAGATGAGAAACTGCCACAGTCTCCTCACTTTGGCCTTTGAAGCCCTCTACAGCCTGACTCCAGCCTACCTTTCCAGTCTTATTGAACAATACTTCCCTTACAGGTTCCTTGTGGGGTCATACATGCTGCACCATCTCTCATCTCTGTGTCTTTGCATTGGCTGTCTGCCCATGTCTAGAATGCACTCCCTCTTCATCTCTGCCTCTTAGAATCCCACATCTTCATGACCCAGATCAAGCTGGATCTTCTATGTAAAGCGTTTCCTATCTGCAGGTGCCCTCCCCATCCCTATCACCTTGTCTGATTGTGTTTCTACCTCTCCAGGCACACATTCACTCCCCTGATAGAATGAAAGTTTCTTGAGGGTGGGGACAGTTTCATTCTTGAACTTGTAACCTATCTAGCACAGTGCCTGGCACATAATAGGAGCTTAATAAATGAACTAATTAATTGTACTAGATTTGGTGAACTTGGGAAATACAGGTTCTGCCACTGAAAACCCTGGTGTTGCATCAACTTTTAAACTTAGAAAATAACTTAGCTGGCATAGGTAATCTTTGAAGGTAGAGGCATTGAAAGGCACAGTGAATAATTGCCATTCTCCCTCTCTCTCTCTCTCTCTCTCTCTCTCTCTCTCTCTCTCTCTCTCTCACACACACACACACACACACACACACACACACACACACACACTCAGAGTCAGGGTAATGTTGGAGATGGAAAAGATAAATTCCAATTGCTTCATTTTACAGATAGAGAAACTGAGGCCCAGAGTTAAGAAGTAGAGCCAGATCTCATAGTTACATAGACAGGAATTGGAAAAATGGGGATATGAACTCAGGTTTTCCAGCTTTAAGCCCATCAATGGTTTTCCCACTGCCTCTCAGTTCCTCTTGTGGCAGCCCCCTCTCCTAGCACCCCACATTCCAAGACATAGCCGCTCTCCCATTTGTAGAGTCATTGAATGTGAGAGCTGGAAGAGACTTCAAAAGCTTCCTAGTCCACCAGTACCCCTTTTGTAGATGAGGCAGCTGAGGCTTAGGGAAATGACCTGCCCAAGGCAACATGAGCCAGTGGCAGAGCTGGAATCCAGCCATGCCCTCTGATCCCCAGGCCAGGGCTGTATCCACCACTGGTACTAGCGACAATCAATCAATTAAAATATGGAATGAGGTCCTGCTTCATGCTGGTGATGAGTTAATAAAGACCTCTCTTCTTCCTGTCCCAAAGATAGAGGGTATGAACCAAGCCATCCATATCTCCCCCAACACACACACACACACACACACACACACGCACACACGCATGCATGCACGCACACCCACACCTGTTTTGTCCCAGATGAAAAGATTCCCAGCCATCTCTCTTAGAGTAGATGATGTCTAAGGGCCCTTCCAGTTTGGAATTCAATTTTCCAGGTGTTTTTTTTTTAGTTTTCTAGAATTCCATTGTTCTTTAGACTAACAGGAAACAGATCTAGCAGGTAATCAGACTCCATCATCTTATTACCAGGTTCATACAGTCCTCTTCCCCCACCATCACCATCCTGGTTCCCCCATCCTCTCTCTCTATGGGGTCAAGTAGCGCAGTGACGTTCTATAGGGATCCTTTGGGGGAAACAGTTACATGTTTATTCAAACTCCTTTGCTTTGATTCAGCAACTGGTTCAAGGATATTATTGTCAGGTTGGTGAGGAAGGGGGGATGGGTGGGAAAAGAGTAGCTGATCCAGATGTGGCTTTCTTGTTACTTTGACCAGAGGAGGATGCAGCTGCTGTTTTTAGGAAAACAGCTGTGATCCTGCCCACAGTACTCTATGAGGTATTTGTTTCCTCCCAAGGAATGACCTAGATCCTGTGCTGAATGGGTCATTCCTCCCTCACCTTTCAAATCCCACCCATCATCCAAAGTCCAACTCAAGTGGGCTTCCTTTGTGAAGCCTTCCCTAGACAGTCAGCAAAAGTGTGGTTAAGAAGAGACCTGGGTTTGGAATCAAATGACCTAGGTTTGTGTCATTTAACCTCTCAGGGCCTCAGTTTTCTGATCTGTATGTGACACCCTCTCTGGGATAACCCACCAACTTGCACTGAAAGGTCAGATCCCCAGAGGGGTGACTACTCCAAGTCCACTCTACTAAAATTCTATAGCTTTCTGGTCCCTATTCTTTCATCTACCTCTACTCTTGGTAGCCAGGGAACACGGTTAGCTCAGGACATGGACATTGTACTCAGATAGCATGAGTCTGCCCCATAAGCCTGGGGCTTACTCTCCTGCAGATACACATAGCATCAGGTGGAAGAGTAGACATATATGGAGAATTCACTCAATACTCGCTCTCTACAGCTACACCCTTTCCCCTGGATGGTGCCATGTACTTCTATTGCAAGATGCCATTGCTTAGGAGAAAGGGTGAGGAGAGAGGAGTCCCAAGAAGCCTATAGCACCCAGTATTTACTACATAGTCCCCTGTTCCAGTACTACCCACGGCTGACCCTGCTAAGCCTCTGAGATCAGACAAGACTAGGCTCATTCAGAGTGGTATGACTCCTTTTTTGTAATTAATTTATTTTGAATGACCAGCAATCACTTCCATAAGCTTCTGAGCTTCAAATTTTTCTCCTCCTCCCTCTCCACCTCCCTCCCCAAGAGGGCACGCAATCTGATATAGGCTCTACATGCACATTCCTATTAAACATATTTTCACGTTGGTGATGTTGTAGGTAAGAATTAGAGCCAATAGGAAGAAAGAATGGTGTGACTCTTACATCTCATTGTACTCCATACACACTGCAATTTCTTCAAATGTATTGGAAGGACTCTTGATCACACTCCTTCCCAATCACCCCTCTGCTATATGTAAAATTAAAAGGATAGACCAGAGTAGGGGCTCTTTCCCTTTTTGAATCATGAACCCCTTTGACAGTCTGGTGGAACCCTATAGATCCCTTCTCAGATTATGTTTTGTTTTGTTTTTTGGTAGGCAATGGGGTTAAGTGACTTGCCCAGGGTCACACAGCTAGTAAGTTTCAAATGTCAGAGGCCAGGTTTGAAGTCAGGTCCTCCTGACTCCAGGGCTGGTGCTCTATCCACCAGACCACCCAGCTACCCCAGAGTTATGTTTTTAAATACATAAAATACATCCAATTACAAAGGAATCCTGTTACACTGAAATACAGCAATCAAAAATTTTTTAAAACAATTCAAACCCCAAATGAGTCGAAAACAACTGAAAAACAAGAAAACCTCCATTCTGCAAGATTGCAGTGTTTGCATTGCTCATATCAAAAGACACAGGAACTTGGCCAGTTACTGAAGTAACTGGATCCCCTCTTTCTTCCTTGGGGCCTGCCCTTCCCCTGTCCCCCTGCCTCACACAGAGGTCATCCAGACCTTGGATCTGGAGGTAGGGGACCCTGGGACCCTGGCCCTTTCCTCCCCTCCTCACCCACCTTAGCAGGCCTGAGATTTGTTTCCTTTCTTCCTCTCTTTGGGGTGGGGTCAGGTAGGATGGGTGGTCTGGGCCTGGGTAGGAGGGAGCTGGGTTAACTGCCCTCTGCCAGGGTGGAGGGGAATAACAGGGTAGAGTATTTGGGCTTCCTTACTAATTGTGTTTGATTAATGAGTGTTGGGTAATCAAGAGGGCCCTCTGGACAGGTAGGAGACAGAGGAGAGATAGTGATGCCCATAATCAGTCCGAAGTGGTGGTGAAATAGATTGAGCGCTAGTCAGGAAGACCTGAATTCAAATTCAGCCCCAGACACT